TTCAGTTCATTCCCTGTGCGGAGCAAGCTCGTCATTCTCCACATTCCACTTTGAGTTAGGACCTATAGGCAAAGTACAGTCGTCCATGTGTGTATTTTACAGCTTCACGTAAATTCCTTTGATTAACTTCAGAGATATTCGTGATGAGTGTTACTGCATGTAATTTCACTCTACGACGATGGTCTAGCAGATACAAAACTATATAGATTGCCAAAGTGGAATATGTACCAGACCCACTACTGACTTACCCTCCTGCTACCCTACTCCCACCTCACGTACTTACTAGTAGCACACATATGCATGTAGTCCTAGTCGACTAGTCTCACCTCGGTAGTGAAGGATAGTCCATAGAAACGGTCTTGCTAGGTTAACTGTTTGAATGATATAATGAAAATGTCTGACAATCCGTCGCACCATGGCTGAGTCTGCGTCGTCCTAGGTGTAGTCCAGAGTTTGAGAAGTAAGAAAGGTCTAAGCTAGGGTTGTGCCGCCCACAGACGCCAATCCGGTCACAATCCTAGTTTAAAATGCCGCGCATTTCCTGGTCTCGCCTGCCTTTCAAGGTGATCCATGACCACCAACTCCTACTCATGTCTGGCATATATATCATTTCGATAAACATGTGTACCTCTATGAAAAGTTGTAGTTAGTTGCTTTGCATGGATACATGTAGTTTTTCAAGCATGACAGACTTGATCCGGCTGTAAGTGGCTCAGACTTCTCAAGTGTTCAGTTACAATACATATATAGTTTATATACTGTCCTACTGTGTCATTAGCACACACCAAGTTATTAACCTCCAGGCTGTATAGATATACCATAACTTGCTAAGCTTCTGACCAACTAACCGCTGGTCGTCTTGCAAATTCCGAGCGCGACTCTGATTTGGCAGTGCTGGTCGGAAGTCTCGATGGTGACTTAACTTTCATGACGTCACACGGCAGCATGAGGCAGTCGACCCGCTGAACTCGGAGGTGATTTGAGCTCACGACGATCGATAATCAATAGCCGAGAACAGCAGCTCTCTTCGCTTTAGCACCGGCACGACGTCCGAGCTCACAAATATCACCATTCCCAATATCGAGCACCGGAGGTACTGTTACGCCCGTCCAGCCGAATACTGCATTAAGATCGTATAGAACTTAATCTAGCATCTATTCTTTAACTATTGATCTGGGGTATGGATCATAGGTTAGGTTGATCAGGGTCAGTGCATGCTACGTTTGGTTTGGGTACGGGTTAATCAGCTATTCCAGGATAATAAGTTAGGGTTAAGGCTTGGTTAGGGGCTATGGTTAATCATGTATGAGGAAGTAAATTAACGGACACCCACATATTCCTACAAGTATTCAGGGGCCATGTGCGCACAGCTCTGTGTATACATAGCATTAACATCATAGGGCTATAGCTTAATGAACACCAACACATGGTGTTGTCATGCATAAATCGTATGTGAGCGTATGTGATAGTGTGAAGTACATTTGCATTATGGATTACACTTTAGGTGCGTGCATAGTGCAACCAGCAATCTGCCGAGTCACATGTCTGTTTTGGACTATAGTTGATCGCCCTTCTGTCAGTAATAAGGATCCAATCGTTTTCAGAATCGCTTGCATGGTGTTATGTGTTACATACAGTTGTCGTCTGCAGTGCGGATTGATAGGGAAAATATTGTAATGCAGAGGAGTAACTGTATCCATTGCAAGCATAGGTGTGTGTGTGTACACTGTTGACTGTGCATTGATTGTGGAAATGAACTGAATGTAATTAGCTGAATGTATTAATGTATGTAAGGTATTGTATTGTACTTAATGTAGATTGTAATTGTAAAATGCTAATGTACCTGTATTAAAAGCTGATTAATATTAATGAACTGGCTGTCTGTCCACAGCACAAGCGTCTGTTTTTCGAGCTGAGGAGAAGGATAGACTTTATGCTGTGTTACAAGCCAGCCAGAGGACAGCGTTCCATGGACATTGAGGAGAATTATGAGAGGAACTGTCGGGAGCGAGGACTGGAGCTGGAATACTGATCACAAGGTATATCTGTGTGTCGGCAGCTCAACAGTCATAAAATGTTTTATCCTAGCACAATAGATACCTGTGTATCTGTGTATGTAGTTATCTATGTTAATGTCTCATGAAAACTACCCTCGGCAACACAACGTACATTCATACATGATTCGAAAATTAAATGGTAAATTTGGTTGTCTGAGCCCGACCAATTTCTCAAATGGACAACCACAATCTCAGTCAACCTAATTTTAGTATCAAAATGTGTTCACTCCTTCTTCCTGTCTCGACAAATGGAATGAATTTTATATGCAACACTGTTACAGAACTGTCGATCAAGCAGCCCCATGTCTTCTGATGCACACTGTTCAAGGAATTTTGTTTTCCCTCAAGTTTCAATATGGTCGCAACACTGAAATGCTTTTATAGTATATATTCTAAGTGCTGAAATGTAATACATGATGCTCATTTGTTGGTGACACATCAGTCACTATTACTTCAATTATTACCAATAAAGTTATAAGCCATCCAACTGGCTATCTCAAGCGAAGCTGAAACATAAACTAACAGAGTAGTAAGTAACAAGATGCCCATACACAGATTGTATGTGAAATATTATTTGTCAGAATCACAGTAATCCAGACATATGGGGAAGCTGTAGAACTACATTAGACACTCTAACTGACTTGAGTCGCATTGTGTGGCATATCCCGTCTAAGACGCTTTGGCCCCTACTGTCTGATTACGATTCATACAATACTTTCTTTAGAGGCAGATATATCGGGAAAGTATACAATTTTATATTTTGATCTACTTGGTGAGAATTGATAGGTAAGGTCACAATCATTCGCGAGAGATCCTACGTTGTCCAGCTATGGACTATTATATCAGTAAATGTCTCAGGCAACAAAATGCGTGTGCTATAAGATATATTGGACCCAGTTCATTACACCGCCAGATGTACCCTCCCCAGTCGTGTTGTTAGAGCAGACGAGAAAAAATGCAGTTTACCGTACAATTATGGCATATAATTTAGCTCTGAAAGTGTTTTAGCCAAGATTCTATGCTAACTATTTATTAGATTGTAGTCGTGCTAGGTGCTAGCACAGGCCATTTTATGACTCATGACTTATATGGGTCATTTTCTCTGGAAAAAGTCAGCTACTTGATTCAAACAACTTAATTTAAGAGCGAGCGTCAAGCAGTGTACTCTTCAGCTTTCGGTGAGTTAGCAAGGTATGATCTCGTGTAGAATTCGAGCGCCTATATGATAGTTTTGTAGTCGTGTGCGCTCAGGTGTCAGTTTCTTAGAGTTCAACCTGAGGCCTAATTGCTTTAGCCCTCTATGAAAAAACAATATCACTTGAGCACTATCTAATTCTGCTAGGTCACAAATTCAACCTTTCTAATAGTTGCATGCTGTGTCAATTTCACATCGAACGCCAGCGTCCAACCCCTGCTCTACAACAATTCTACTAGCCTAAAAATAACCAACAAGCTGTGTTGTAACATCATATCTCTTCTGAGACTCTGTGTGTTCGACGACCAAAAATTCATAAATTTATACGCCATTAACATTTTAACAGTGGTTCCGGCTGAAAATTATCAAACTACAAATTCCAAAACTAGGACACACAGTGAAATTATGCGACTTACTTCCTAGTTAGAACCTGCAATTGATGACTTTGGCTAAATGCGTTAGTGATATCAACGTACAATTATTCTATAGCACAACCGTTAATAATGCCACGTTAAGATGTAGGCGTGCCTGTCTTGCATATACAAATTGTGTAATTTCCATTCACCCAATATGGCTGTGTAGGGGAGAGCAGATTGAGCTTAGAATAATGTCCTACAATAAGGTCAATGCTGACCTTTCATACTATTTGTGCTTGTCTGAAGATGAAGGATTTTGCGTCATAAACCATGTCTATCGAGTGAAATTGCCGCAGTAATGTGTTCTTTTAAGAGATATTGTTATGGCAGAAACATATTGCTTCACAGAGTTTCTTGTTTTGACAAAGATCAGTCGGAGTTGCCCTTTCGGGAGTCATATCATGTCACTAGAAAACGGCCAAGATCCGTACGTAGAGACAGACGACTGTTACAGAATGCATAGTAAGTATTGCGCAAGGGGAATGGCAATGCTAGCTCTGTGTACTGTCTGGCA